GTCAATGTCTCTAAATGTATAATTTCTTTTTAATAGAATGTTCTGTAGCTCAGCGTTTTAAATTTAAAAGGAGGCACCCTGTACTCTACGAGTCACGAGTCACGGCTTGGGTAAGGAATCTCTAAAGGGCGTAACCAAAATTGTAGGATTTTCTGGCCAGGGAGACTCGGAGCTCCCTCATTTCGTAAATAGAGACCATGAGGCCTAGAAAGGTTTCATACTTGTCAGTGGCAGAGCAGAAACCAGAACCATGATGTGCTGATAGCTAGTGATGAATTATAAACCATACAGAATCAGGCAGATCTCTTTTTTTGTTGTTTTAAATAGTCTTGGTCAACCATCATATCCCAGAAAGCATAGAAAAGATGTGAAAAAATGATGAGTTTTTAGCTATAGGCAGATAGGTTTGAAGGGCTTCGAAGTGGTCAGGGAGCCACGTGGAACAGACAGATGGGGGCCATGTCTTCCCTTGCTCTTCCGCATCTGCCCTTGGCAGAAGTCAGCGAGAAGGCCCCACAGGTCCAGTCTCTCTCTTCATTCTGGTACACCCCCATAATAGGGAAGGAAAATGTTTGAGAATATTTGGGAGTTTTTTTAGATACAGCGTTTTTTTATTACTATCACAATGTTTCTGTTCTTTGAATGGCTTATAAGTGTCGGGGGACTCTTGACAGTTAACCTGCACCTGTGATGTTGGAGGCACAGCGAGTTAATACGTCCTTATCAGCAGGCAGCACTGTACCGGTGAGTTATCAGAAAAGACAGCTATTAGTGGTAATAGTAACAATCCGGAACCACGGGCACTTCCTCACCGGGCTGGGAGCTTCTGGAACTCCCGTGATATCTCACTTCACATTTACCACCTTGGGAGCACTCCACTGCTGCCTGTCAGCCTGCCCAGCTCATCAGCTGCGGCCTTGGCTTTGCTTTCTGAGAACCCAGCTTTCTTTCCCTGTTTTCTTGAGCTTTTTCTTTTCTTCTTTAAGTCCATTGTATTGGTAACAAAGCCGCACAGCGGAGACCCCAGCCCAGCTTTGAGTAAAAGTGCTGCATGCACAGGGTTTACTTCCTGACCAAGCCCTTGGGAAAGGAGGGTGCAGTGGCACCTTTCCTGCCGACAGTCTCACCTGGTTTTCAGCCCCAACGCCTATCTTTCCAGCTTTAGAACGGTACCACTTGTTCGCCTTCCTGTTAGTGGACAGCATGTTTCCTGACCTGCTCCTTAATCCCCTTGGGACACAATAGCAAGCCCAGAAGCTGATAAATAAGCACTCAGCATAGCCTTTGAACTCTTCAAGAAGCCATCAGGGCCTGCCCATCCCTGCCAGTCCCTGCCAGCCTTCGGTCTCAGCCGATACCAACCAGTGTTTTTCAGGCTATGAGTCTTGCCCCACTAGAGGTCTTAAATTAATTCAGTGTCATAACCATCTCTTTTTCTTTAAGAAATAGAACAGAAAAGAGACAGAACATAGCACATGTAGTCAAGATTAACCATTATTTTGTGGAAACTTTGTTATATAAAGTGTATATACCCATATGTAAATGTGCATATGGGTCATACCAAAAATTGAAGTTTGAGAAACACTCATCTGCACAATCCTCCCTCTGCAGAATTAGCTTGGTGCATCAGATTTCTAACACTCAGACATCCAGTATCATAAAACCCTTTGCTACTCTCGCTTCCACTTTGCCCCCGGTCTGATGATTCTGCCTCCCCTTGCCTAGGGTCCCCTTATATGTAAGAATTCCCCTGCCCAGAGCATGGAACCTGCCTCTGCACTCCTGGCAGTGCCTGAAACTCTGCTACCATGATGACCCCAGTGCCAAGCGCCCTTTCGTTCTATGTCTAAACACCAGCTGCTCCTGACTCTCCGATTCTGTTTACCTGCCTAGCAAGAAACTGAGTGCCCCAGAGCCTTCTGCCACCTCTCCATTGTAGGTCATGACACCTTCTGGTTACAGCGTTGTTTAACTCCAAACTAGACCTTTTTCCCAGTGACTTTAGCATCTGACAATCTAAGGTTCATATAGGCCACTTACTAGCTTTGTGATCTAGGGCCTTATGTCAGTTCTCAGATACTCAGGGATACTCAGTAAATGTGTCTGTTTCCCCCTTCATTCGTCTAGCACTTATTCCTCGGTTTGACTCTTTGGTACCTGCTCTCACTGGGTCTTTTTTTAAGATGCAACTTATCTCTGTCCTAATAAGTAGTGTCAGCTAAGCCATATCTGACCCCAAGCTGCGATGTGACAGTGGGGCAGGTTTTGACTGGGAAGGGGTGACTTCAGAGAAGACAGGTCAAGAGAAGCAAGAGTCAGCCCAGAGGAAAAGAAGTAAATGATAAAAGCAGACATAATGCTCATTCTCAAGCAACTTTCCGTTCCCTCTTCTTTTTCTTATCAACCTGCCTGAGAGGAATTGATGCGCATGAATGTGTTTACTTTTTCCCCCTTAAAAAAGGACAGTGAAACAGCCTATTTCAGCTTCCTCCTCTTAAACAGCTGGAGCTCAGTTGTTGGAAAGCAGAGGAGCACATAACAAAGGCCCTTCTTTGCCTTCGCCTCTGCAGGGAGGGCTTGAGGTTTGGTCACCACGGGCCCAGAGGACTCTCTCCTGAAAGATATTTTGAATACATTTCAGTTCGACTTGTATAACTCCCTGGGCTTATTGAGCCATCTTGTTTTCTGGATTTAATCACTTGGTGGTCTCCCAGGATTCAGAGAGAGAGCTGCTGGGATCACTTGAGATTTCAGAATAACAGGAAAATGACAGAGAAATAGAGTGTGTATGTTTACTTAACTAACGAGGCTCAAATCTTTTGTACGCTCTTAGTGAAAATTCTTTCTCCTAGTTCCTGCCCTCCAGTCAGTGCCCTAACCTCATCCCAGTTCTAGGCCCCAGTTTCTAGCAGCCTTACCAACAGCACCCCA